GGTGGATTTGTGGTTTGCAGTGTAATCGTGGAGGAGTGTTTCATCTTATTTGAGAATCATTAGCTCGATATGCCTGTATCTCAGTGTTCATATTCATACTGAGACTTGAATCCAATACTTTTCACTTCAAAATCCCAGCGCATAATTCATTGAGCTACTGAGCTCAGATAGCCAGCCACACACTTGTGCAACGAATACGATGTCATTTCCCTTATGATAGTCACCACTAATATAGTAATGGTTTGGTTTATATGATCTAACATAACACTATAATCAGATCAATTTTTGATTCACCAAAGTAGAATTCAGTATTATATTGAATATTTTATACATGTTTCTTAATTTTAAGGCAAGCGAAACGTTTCTAAGTAATCTAACTATTTTTATTATTAATCTAATCACTATTGAAAACACATCATGAGTCACAATTGATTGATTGATCACTGGGTGGTGATCGATGTCATGTGTGTCAGGTCTTTCATAATGCAGATCGAATGTTATCGATCAAGTTGCAATGTGGCCACTAGTCTAGGTGACTAGACGTTGCGTGCACTCTGTTGAGATATGATGGTGGTTAAAGGTAGTCAACAAGAAACCCTGGACCCGGATTTCGTGGTATTTGGCACTCGTCAGCAAGGTGTAACTGTAATCTTGAGGGAACTGATGCTCCCTGAAGGAATTCGGTCCCGTGTTACCATCATGAGTTATACTCTTATGCTTATCACTCTGGGTCTTCATATTCTTTTCAACCATTGTATTATTTGTCTATTCACTGTAATTCAGACACTTAATTCACTATATTAATTTCTGTGTGTGTATGATCGAGTGCGTGTGTCTGCACATCAATCCTTAATCTATTCTCCTATTGGTTGTAACATACAGGTAATCAATAATTTATCCACACTCGATTGACACTCAAAAATGTATATGGATTTTTAACTCGCGCGCGCGCACACAGACACACTTTCGTGGTTTCACAGTTCACTCGATCTCTGTACGCTTGTGGATTTTACTCAACTTTTATAATAAAATATCTCTACAACTGGTATTCAGGCTTCTGAATAATCTCGAATAAATCCATAATCCTACTGAGAGATTTAGCCTACCTAAAATACTCAGTTAACGGGAAATCATTTATTGTAGTCAAATGTAGAGGAAACTAACCTCGATATTTGATGAACCGCTTTTAGAACACGTACCATTACTCTACAAAGTCTGCTGCATACTCTCCAAGCGTATCATAAAGAACTTCACATTGGAATTACTATTACAATTATTAACAATTCATTGATAGTCATAATAAATTCACCCATAACATTGTTCCTTTGGAATTATTGCTGTATATTCGCATATTTAAACCCGAAGTGACAGTTTTCTTTCCGGTGAGTCTTATATATTTCTTTTTGTTATTTTTAATTTCTTCATATTGTATATTACAATCCTCAGTTTATTATTACTATTGCTTCTTTGTATCATGGCACTTGATAATTCGCTAAGCCTTTCATCTAAATCAATGTCCATGGGTGCCATCTCTGTACCTTTACTTGTCTTTAATCCGCGAAAGGCCGAACTCTGGTTTGCACGCTTAGAAAGGTTTTTTGTTGCAAACAGAATCACAAATCGGACCACGAAATTTAGTTACGCAAACTCATTGCTACCGGACGACGTTATTGAACAAGTGCCTGACATCATTTTTAAGCCGGATCCCGACTCACCATACGATTGTCTAAAAAGACAGGTCATTCGTGTTACATCTCTCACCGACCGGCAGACAATCGATCAACTTTTATTTAACGTGGAGCTAGGTGACAATACACTATCACAATTAAAACGCCACATGACAAATTTATTAGCAAATCGTACAGTAAACAAACGTCTATTATATCAATTGTGGCTCAGACGTTTTCCACAAAACATCCAACAGATACTTGTAATTGGAGACGACGATGTCGATTTTTATAGGCTAGCAGATATAACCGACAGAATTTACGAGCGGTCTAAGACTCACTCTGTGATTAAGTAAATATAGGCTTTCATTGCTGGTTTAGCTGATGTCAGTCATCTGTATTGTAGTAGATAAGGACACAACTGGGGACAATCGGATTTATTGGAACACAAAATTACAGAACAACTTAGTAAAATCTGAGAACCATACAGTAAATAATTCATTTGCAAAATGTCAATCAATCATCTCAGACTTCACTGTGCCTCCATTTTCACAGGAATCATTCTCCGTTCTTGCTCACTTTTCTTCAATCTTCTTAACTTTCTGTTGTCAGGTATTTCACTTTCGATTGATGATACATACTACTCATATCTGTCGACATCAGTAGCACACACCACAGTACTTCTTGGATTATCAGAAATTATGTAGATCTAAGATCCTTATGATTTACACTGTGAATTTTTTAATCAATGTGTATTTTATTCGTTTTGTATTTTGTAATCACTTTCTTCTATTTCGTACAAAAATTCAGCGAAATCTGATTATAATCCCGTTAAAAGATTTATGATATTACAAGTCTACTGAAATTGCATGAAGTAAAGCATGATTGAAATCTATGATTTAGCAGATAAAATTTAAGTGGTTCAACTATTATTTTACTGTTCTACGTCAATTATGAACTGTAAATGATTTGTTTAACTAATTTATTGTTGATAATGTTGGAGAGATTCAGAAAGTTTTTCGAGCAAAAGCCAAAACAAGCTCTGAAAACGTTGAGAAAACCTCTTATTCAATCAACATTTAATAAACGTTTTGCCAGAAACATTTAAAAAGTGAAAAGTCACAGACCGCGTTTCTAATTGGATCATTACCTATACTGTTACTAGGTTTAGTAGCGTTCCAGTATTGTCTGGAACACAAGGCCATCTAGAATGCTATTAATAAATATCCTAGAGCTTCTGTACATAAACAGACCTTTGGGGTGAAACGTTTTGTTCTCTAATTCTAATCATTTCTTCCGTGTTCAAGTTATTATGTAGATTTAGTCCGGGGGTTATTAGAGAGCTTAGGAAACCTAATCTAGTGTTCACTTAAAAGAATTATCAGATTATTCAAGAAGCCTATCATATAGTTATATTATTTTTGTTTACTTGATTAATCGTTCATTAAAATAGTGACCATATGTAGTAATAAAGCATTCATCAGTTTAAACATACTTACCTGTTTAAAAATAGCTCTTTTAATATTCTGTTTATCTAGATCGATATGAAAGAAGGTTAGTACAGTATTCCGAACTGACAGTTAGTATATAATATTAGCTTCTTCTTATTACACTAAAACATTTGAAATACCATAGTTATTGACCAGTTGGTTCAACTTTAGCTCTAACTTAAATGTATGCATTGCTTTTGTAGGTTTTTGCGTTAAGATATTCAATGATTATCTAATCATAAAGAGATAATAGAAATGTAAATCATTGAAAATCACCTATGTGGTATAAAGTTGAAGAACTTGCCACGATGCCTGAAAAGCATGAGTCTTATAAGTGATATGATTATGAATGCGTACTGTAGAAGAGTCTCATATTTTGGTGAAATAGATGCACGGTAAATATAGGCTTCAATCTACTGTGCGAGAGAACAAACCAGATTCCAGAGGAGGAAGAAATCAGGAAGAAGTACTGGAAGTAGATAGGACACACATTGAGGAAAGCATCAAACTGTGTCATAACGCAAGACCTCACATAGAATCCTCTAGGCCAAAGGAGAAGAGGAAGACCAAAGAACACATTGCACCGAGAAATGGAAGCAAATATGGTAAGAATGAACAAGAATTGTATAGAACTAGGAAGGAAGGCCCAGTACAGAGCAGGTTGGAGAATGCTGGTTGATGGCATATGCTCTCCATTGGCAGTAACAGGCGTAAGTAAGTAAATAAGTAAGTCATGTTATGAATAAATAATAATAGGGTTTTAATTGATAGTCGGAGCTTAAGATTATCAAGTTATTGTAAAAAGTTTAGATCCTCAACAGATTTTGTGAAATGAATCGGGGTTAAAATGTATAATATTGTTCAAATATTTTGTGAATTTGATTGGAACCGCTAGTTTAGTAAGTATGTATTTCTGCTAAATTCTTGGTATTGTACGTTGAATTCACGAACCTGAGAAAGAGTTTTCAACTTTTAAATATTAGGGAGAATAGTTATGGTTAGCGCATTTTTTATCATGATTCTTTCTTACGGTATTGAACCATTAACTCTATGCGAAACACTCTTCTGTTAGTCAGGTTTAAGACCAAGAGTGACTTAGAAGTGCTCAACGTGGGGTTCAGTGGTATAGTATTCTTGGAAGGTTTTATTGTTGAAGAGGTGAAATGGATTCTAGAGAAATTTTACTAGTGGTTATTAAATTGTTTAACAATGCCTCGTGAAGTTTTGAAGTAATGTCAAATACTGTAAAGCTGGATCACGCTAGTTCGAATCCTATAGGAAGCATCAGTTCTCTCATTAGATTACATATTTAGCTTAGATATTTGAATAGTATCATTTTCATTTGAAAAGTATAATCGTCTTATCACTTATAAACGTTATATTTTGTAAAATAAATAAAAGTTTTGGTAATTGACAAAAGAACCATAAACCATGCCATATACATACGCATGCATATACATACGCATCTTCATGCCATTGATTAAATTTAGAAATGATGGTCGAAATCACAAATGAACTAGTAAACCTTGTTAATCAGTGATAATTTGACCAGAATAGTAACTTATTATTCACTAGATAGACTTTTAAACTTTCACAAACCTATTGGAATAGTCCAAAAGTTACAATACTGAACGATACTAAAACAAAAATGCGTTAAAATATTTGTTTTCATTTGTTTTGACTATGAAAATCTTCTGACACTATGAAGGTCGTTTGATATTTATGTGGTTAGTTTAACCAATCCTCCTACAATTACATGTTCATCTTAACCAACTAATTCAATATATTAGTGACCTTAACAAAAAATCAATCTATCGTCTGTTGAATTGAGTCAGCTTGACAAATGGATTTGGATGCTTTTAATCGCTCTGAGTGGAACGATTCTCCACAGCCTCATACAGTTTATTCAAGTAATCATTCTACAGGACATCCGAGAATGACTTCTGAGGGATGTCCAGAAATACCATCTCCTAATTCATCATCAGGAAGCTCAGTGGATTCAAGCACAGATGGATGTACAGAAGAAAACATGGGATCTGAAATGAGTGAGAATCCTGGACAACCTGAAACAAATTCTAATCAGATACCGGTCAGTGCACCAGATAGTTTCTCCGACCACAGTCTGAACAATTTAACTGCTCCATTTTCAAGCCAACAAGGTTATACAAACCCAGTGAACACGAATCAAGGATCTGTATACCCGATGTTGAACGGTTTTCCTACTCCGATTTCATCTCAGTCGAATGAATTTTCTGTCTCTTCCAGTGTTTATGGGTTTGCTGACACAGCTCCACTCGAAGATATAGTATGTTTGCCATTATTATTATTATTATTATTATTATTATTATTATTATTATTATTATTATTATTAATACTGTTATTGTTATTAGTTGAATAATTAGTTTCGTTCGAACAGCTCTCAAGTCATTTTGATTTACTGTTCAATGAATTAACCATGCACATAACTTTTGAGTCACAATCCGAATTTATTTTACTTATGTGGTGCATAGGTTACAAATATTTCCACTAATTTCCTCTTCTTGACTTCATGGCCTATGAATTTGTGAACGTTGATAGATTTCATGAATTTTATGGCCTTCTTTCCCGTATTTTTTAATTTGTTGAGATTTTATTTAAGTGAGTGGATTGTTCGAGTGAGGAATTGGTCGACTTAGATAATCTGAAAATACGAACATCATTGTGGGAGATATTTATAAGAACAGACGTAATGTACAACACAAAGCTCCCATAATACCTGAACATATTTCCAGTCGATTTTCCACTTCTTACTTGATGTAGTTTAAAGAATCCAGCGTTTCTTTTTTTAATTAAAGCGGTTAATTATCATAACTCGGACAAATGTTGGTAGTTATTTCAGTCGATTTATTAACTTTGTATAAATTTTTTAATATAGGCATGTCGTTGCAAACATACTAGACTGCTGTTGAGTAATGCTGAGTTGTCAGATAGTCGTCACATGTGTTTACAGAGTAGTTTCGAATTTATTTTTATCACATAATGCGATATTCATCACAGCTGTTATAATGTGATAAATAATTAGAAGCATTCTAATTGATTTGCTAACTAGGAATTCGCGAAATAGTGCAATTTAAGACAGGTGGAACCAGATGAGCATAACTGGATGTATTACATTAGTAATTCGTAACGAGCGCGCAATCAAGTACAAATGAATCATCGGTTAGTACAAACGCTAATTCTAAATTTGATCAGTCGACTGAAATCACCTGAATTATCTAGATTTGATATTGTAGGCTATCGAAATTATCACTAATTTAAATTGTTGGGTTATTTATTGTGAATGTGAAGAAGATTGTTTGTTTTGTATGATTATCAAAGTTTACCTCAACTGTTATGTAGTTGTGTAGTTGTGAACATGGTAGTAACATTAAAAGATACATTTCTTCATACTATCTATCCATCTGGTCACTTTTTCTGTAGTTTAAAATCATTGCTCTTTATGCATGTCAGAAGCGTATTATTATGTTAACAAGAGTTTTGGAGATGATTATTTTATTCAATTCCACTTGACCAGTGTGTTCAAATTGAGTATATACTTACATGTATATACTGTACATGTGAGGACCGAAAGCGAATGCAAACGATTTTAAATCCTAAGATCATTTGACAAATCTTGTAAAATCCAAGGTTGTTTTTCAAACTAAATTATCATATCCATATGCTATTGTTGTCATTGCGTCTACTTTATATCTGCTTCATTGAAATTTGTTGGTCATTAACTCAAGTGAGTAACAAATAATAAGTAAACAATACATGTAAAGAATTTTAGTGAAACAAATCAATACTCTTTAGGTTGTATTCATCAAAGTTGATCTCGATTGTGATACCACTGAAAAAGGAGCATTTGGAATTTAGTTCATCCTAATTTGGGACTCCTCAACAGTACAAAACTTCTGTTCTCCAGGTTTTTAATGGTAGCCCGACGAATACCAATTAAAATTTAAACCAATATACCCAAAACCATTTTAACTAGATTCTACAATTTACTTGTAAATATCCATTCTTTTAATGTTAGATAAAACCAACATTAACACCTAAAGAAGATTTCTGTGTTGAACATGACTGTGAACGTTTAAAGGGTGCTCTGGATCGATTAAATATAGTAGAAAAAGAAATCGTTGAAGTAATGGGTCGTCGACCTGTTGTTCAACGTATAGCAATTCTACAAACATATAAATCTCTGTATAAGGACAATTTGTTCGCCATATTTAATTCTAAATTAACTGGATATTTAAAAGATTGTTTGATTGCGTTGTGCTATACACCAGCAGAATTTGATGCAATAGAACTTCATAGAGCAATGAGAGGAACTGATACTGATGAAGATACAATAGTTGAAATTCTTTGTACAAAAACAAATGAACAAATCAGAAGAATTAAGGATGTTTATCCAAAATGTGAGTTATTAATTTATAAAATGATCAAATATATTTTGTATTTATTCTTAAAATTAAGATTGTCATGAATTACTGAATATGGTCAGTGATAATGAAGAAGATTCACTGTGATTCATTTCAACTATTTAAAATTTCTATGAATTTCAAGATAAACTATTCTATCGTGGGCATCTACGATCCCACCTAGTGAGGCTCGACACCCACAACCTATCAGTATCGCGCACGAACTCTTAACCTCTAGACCGTTGAGCTGGCCGGGGTTCAACGATGTTAATATCTAACTTCAAATAATTCGCGAAATTGATCGACACGGCTGCCCAGTACTTCCAGGTTTTCCATGGTGGTCTAGCTTCAAATGACTCATGATCTCAACTATTAAAATTACTATAATATTCACAACAATCATTCAGATATATATATAGATATAAATAAATAAATAAATGTTTATTCGTTAAAATTTCAGTATTCGATGGATGTGATTTGATGAATGATGTAAACAATCAGATTACACATCCATTCAAACGTATATTCATGACTCTATTAAAGGCGGATAGAGATGAATTTACATTTGTAGATAGAAATATTGTACAAAGAGATGTGGAAGAATTATCTAATACAATACAACAAAACATTAGAATAGATGAATCAAAGTAAGTGTATTGTTTATTCAATATATGCTAGTTGGTTTAAGAAAATCTTACATAGCTGTTAATTAATTAATTGGGTTTTGACTTGAAAACAGAATATTTGCAGTTTTATGAGAGATTATGTATTGAGAGAGGATTGGACTTTCAAGTAGTAATTTGCCATTGGACTATGTATTTGACTATAAATGCTTCATTCACTGAATGATGCTAATGGTAGGTAAAGAGTTTCAATCAAAGATAATAAGCTGATTAATGAAGTCATGAACATGCATTGACTGACATATTTGGAACTTGTGTTACACATGGTCCAACTACATAGTAACCAGATCTATAAATTGGCATGGTAATAGTTTAAAGAGGAACATTAATGTAGCTCAAATGTGTGAGAGAACAAACGAGATCCCAGAGGAGGAAGAAATCAGGAAGAACAACTGGAAATGGATAGGACACACATTGAGGAAAGCACCATACTGTGTAACAACGCAAAACCCTCACATGGGATCCTCAAGGCCAAAAGAGAATGGCATATGTTCCCCACTGGGAGTAATAGGCGTAAATAAGTAAGCAAATACTCCAGCATGAAATGGAATAATTTAGATCGGTAGGTGATCAAGCCAAGTTTTTATATTTATATTTATGTTAAATCATATGATGTACTGTCCTAACAAAAAAGGACTTCTCTCTGAATTTTGTGCTGATGATGTCGTTCAGAAGAACGATGAAAGCTCCACGACCTAACCATTCAGCTCAGAGAACAAAACTCCACCAAAATCATCCACCTGAGCTACAAATCTTCTCCACCATCTCTATTCATCTAACTCTGAAAATAAATTACCCTTATTGTTACGATGGATTACTAAACATCTTCCCTATAATATCTCTTATGCTCAGTACATTAAGATGACAACAAATGAGCAAGATATGTTCAAATTAACCCAATGAAGTCGCTGGAAAATATAAACTTTATTACAGAATCCATTCTTGTATTCGAATTTGTCACAATTGTAAATCGAATTCTGTTTTAAGTGACCATGACTTTGTTTAATTAAAAACGTTTCAAACCATTATCACTGTCGAATATTATCTGTGGTTCTCGAGTAATTGGTGTGAATTTGAACAAAATGATTGAATATTGGAGAACAAACTTCAGGAATGATTTAAATGTGTTTGATTGAATCAAAACCATCTGAAATAGCAGGTAGAAGGTTAGAACTCAGTACCACAAAGTGTAATATAGGTTGATCATATTACATACTTTTTATCAACATATCTGTCCCATTATCTGAAAATGAGATCTGTTAAAATGTATCTGACTAAATGAATGCAATGGTCCAACAAATAAGAATCACTTTGATGCAACATACAGCACAGTCTTTCAGAAAGCTCTTAAACATAATCCTTCTTTTTTCTTTAAACATACCTGTACATATTAGATTCATTCTTATATTGGCTTCAAGATCTTATGCTCACCTACGAGTTGTATTCAATGAATATATACGAATTAGTAAACATACCATGGAAGATACTTTAAAGCTCAGAATGCGTGGAAATGCACTCAGTGCTCTACTTTCTATAGGTAAGTAATGTTAAACAATTTCTTTCGAGAAATTGCGTGTCCGATTTATAATTATGACTTGAGTTAATCTAATTTGGGATTAGTTAATGTATTATGTAATCACTTGGGAATTAAATCGAAGTTGTATTCGAATGAATATCTGATTGGTAGAGAACAACTCTAATCCCTGTATTGATTGGTCAGAGTTTGCTGTCCGGTGTAGTGTCATGTTAGTTTGGTCGTTACTGTCGCCCAAGTTCTATCGGTTGAGAAATTTTATTATTTGTATTAGTTTAAGTAACTCAAACAGTGTATGCACTGCGTTTCGATGTAGTTTGTTTAGAAGTAGTCAGTGTGGAACCTTGGGACTGGGTTTCGTGTTAGTTGATACTCACTCATCAGCAAGGCTAGCAATCAGCAATAAGAGCTGGATAAAATGATACTGTCCATCATTCAGTTATTAATTACTATGATTATACTATCCGCAACCCAAACAACTCGTTGATAACGCCTCAGAGATGGGGTCGAATCCCCCATGGTTTGAGGTCCCCTCAAGATTTCAGGTATGCCTTCCAAACAAACAATCTGGATCCATATAACTTAGTAGACTATCCCTGACTATTTAATTTGTCTATTCTAAATGACTTATTTTTGTTGAGTCACCAAGTTACTGTCCTATAATGAGGATACTTCTCAGAACATAAATCTCTACTTTACTTCGCTACATACTACAATAATGTTTGTATATGCTTATATAAATTCAAATTCAAATGAGCAAATAGTTGAATGATTCACGCTTATTGACTCAAAAACAGAATTTATCATTCGATAGGATTAATTCATTCATGTAATAACTTGAATCGAGATTTGATGTGTATGGACACGTACATTATCGTTCTGTTAACTATTATTTATTTATTTATTTAAGCACATAAACTTTGGTATAAGGAAGCACCAAACGGATACTGCTCAGCTGCCCAAACCGCAGCACGTGATTTTCTTAGGGGGCCACAGCTGGAACCTTCGGCCTGAAGGTCTAATCCGCAAGACAGTGAAGCAACGTAAGGAGATGCTGTCCCTTGTTAGCCGGTGAACAACGATATCTCCATACGTCATTCGTTCCTTCAGGATCTTGAAGCCCATGTGCACAATTGGTTTGGAATCATGGTTTTTCAACTCGCCTAGGTAGACTCTCTGTATATATATATATATATATATATATATATATATATATATATATATATATATATATATATATATATATATATATATATATATATATAATAATGACCATCGAACTTTCTCTTTTTTATTTATCTTAATCACATTCATTGAATTTGATTTCAGTTCGGTGTATACAAAATAAACCACGATATTTTGCAGAAAAATTGTTCAAAGCCATGCAATGTGCTGAAACAGCTGATAAAGCACTTATACGTATTGTTGTCAGTCGTTGTGAAATCGATATGAAAAATATCATGAAAGAGTTTTATAAAATAACAGGAAACACTTTGGATGAATGCATAGATGTAAGTGTGAATAATATTTATTCGATGATAATTTATTCTAATTTATGTCATTTTACTGCATGTTCAACATTGATATATTTCATTTAAACCACGAATGGGCTGAAATATAGCAACTGTTGGAAAACTAAGAACAATAGGTGATCATTCTGTGCAAGTATGTGACTGACTCCTCATCGGTATGAATCCAAGAGTCGGTAATCGAATTCAGATATTTCGATGTCACGCATAAACCTTTAAAATCTAGACGTATGTGACCGGATCCTAGGGAATACAAGTCTAATTTCAATCAACCTACAAACTTATAAGGAAATCTTCAACTGTCAACCATGAGTACCAACAACAAAACAGAAACAAATAAAACTCAATAATTAAGCATTCTCATTGAAGAGTTCCATAGTACGACGAAATAACAGTCCAAATATTCAATAGTTGTCTAAATTGTATCAGTTCGCGATTTTGATCGAGTTCAACTATCTTCACAAGCCAAATATGACGAATAATTTACATTCGACGGTTAACTTATTTGCTTTGAATTGAAAATTATTTTTCCGTGTGAATCTTCAACCCATGAAAATCTGTGTGAACAATAATGCTGAATATTACTGATTGTTATAGCATCAACCAAATGCTTCTCGAAAAACTTCTACGTTCATGTCTAGAGATACATACATCACATTTAATCAGTGTTAAATAGAAATTGATTAGCTTGATCAGGGTGTGTTGCATAAATAACCACGACTGAACCAATCAGCGTTAACACGATGAACTAGTATTTCAAGTTGAATGCATGAACTCATATCAAATGTTACATCTCTGACAGGTGATCGTGATCACGATGCATTCTTCAAGTGCTTAAAACATTTCAGTGTGGTAAGTAAGCGTTTATTAAAGCATCACTAATAAGAAATGGTGTAGTGTGAACTTGGAATACGTGCACCTCGTGATGCGAACCGCGTCTGAGATTTAAACCGATGTGAGTTGACTACTTTCCCATTTATTCAAATTAAAATCTCAGTGAAATCGTGTGATCAGTAGTGCACTGAACAACATCAATCCTGTGACGTACTAACTGTAAAACGGAGATATATACACATATATACGATAGGCAGTGCATTATTTCGACGCATAACATTGTGAAACGACGTTGAATCGTCAATGCAGATTCATGGTGAATCTAGAAATGAATTGATATGCTTCACCCAAATCAGTATAAATTAATTGAACCTCAAGAAGTTCTTAAACGGTGTGGTAACATACATTGCACATAAGGTTCATGATATTGTTACGTTGTTGCTGAATAATCCAAGGTGTTTGTCAGCTGACAATTGACACAGAAATTTCATGGTTGTATTGTATGTTGCTGAAACTTGGTTATAACAACAAATTGAAGAGTTTCGACATGTTTCGAAATACAGTTCTAAGAAGACTAGACCATCCTGCATCCATGTATAGATGTGTGCGTGTTTGTCTGATTTGATGATAACGTCAGATCACTTAGCTATAATTAAATTGTGAAGAAATGAAACAATCGAACAAGAACCTTCACATTTAATCTTCCACTATTGTTTCGACTAGATTATCTTTCATCTTGGTAAATCCCAGTGTTCAATTGTAGCATACTAGTTCGACTCATGTGAATCTTTGTCATATCCTACATTGATAATAATTGAGGTCATAATTTGTAGCGAATTCTACCATGCATCGCTTGTGCATTGAAGTTATTTATCAAGTGATCAAACGTGATAGAGGGAAATAATTTTACAAATTTTATTTCTCAAATACATTTTAATTAAGTTTAATATTTGGTCTTTGGGAAACGAACCAACAAATCTATTTATCGATCGAACTTTATGGAATGAAACACCAAGTAATTATCGTCGGCTTTTACTGAAGCTTATCAGGGGATAATCTATTTACCAATTACAGTATTAATCATATATTTATAGTGATTAAAGTCATCAAACAATTACGAATTTATTCTGCAGACGTCAACGATTTTCTGCTTTACAAAATTTATTTGTTGACACGTTTCGATTCACAATTAACAAGAGCATTCACCTCGTTTAACAAGAATTGTATTAACAAATGAAAAGATTATTATTCACACTTATTTTCTCCCCCTATATCCTTTCTCTCTCTCCCTCTCTCTCTCCGTCTGTCTTTACCCTATACTCCATTTGATTGATCTCCTAAGAAAATGTAGTAACAAGATACGTTTTACTTAACTATTTTGCTTAAATGAATACAATTACTTTGTCATCAGATTGAGTTGTTCAAGTTTTCATTGAGAGGAGTGAGTGGTGTGAAGCAAGTTGAAAGATATTAGTTTATTCAACTGAATGATCATTAGGTTGTTTATCGTGAGTCTTCTAACAAGTCAAATCGGAGGACAACAAAGGAGAGATACATTCAGTGTGATTTCAAAACTTTTAAACAAATCATGCAGCAAATCAAACTGTGACTTCTTCATGTTGTGTATTGACCAGTTAGAATGACATATGCATGTTTTAGAATGCATTCAGTTTTCGAACTAGTGATAGACATTGATTAATCTGATGAAAACCACCTCGTTGAACGAATATATTCCACTCAACTTCAGTTTACTTAACATTAATCCTCATCATCCCAATAATATTTTGTGTTGATCATGAAGCTTAGAGTGGTTTGAGGGAGATGCAGTCGACAAAAAGGAATACGACTACGTAACTCGTCTACTCAGTCACTATTCTGTTCCTCTGGTCAATCTACTAATACATATTCAATGATAACTCGATGCATTTGTCATAACGCAGACGACAACGTTCACTGACTTCAAATTTTATTATTATTATCAATCGCAGTACAGCATCTCATAATTATAACACGATCAGAATGATAAGATTATTGTCATAAGTTCCCGTATTAGAAACGACATGATCGAATGCTCACATATTAATAATAGGTTAATCTGTTAGCGTAGTGAAGAAAATTCCTAACAGCATGAAATAATCTGAAAGCTCATATAAATAAAAGGAAGTTGTCGATGATATCTTCCAGAAAGTCAGCGAAGTTTTTGCTGTCACCCCATAGATCATCATAGAACACAATACTATCAAGAGCATTCACCTGACCTGCAAATTATCTCCAAAAGTTAATGAGGAACATATTACGCAAAGCATTACATATATAGTCAAAAAATACAATTTAGGTCCTGGTTTTCAATTTGATGATAATGATAACGATAAGATAAGTTCAATTAATACGATTTGGCAATAATCTATAAAAAATAAAGTTCTGAATTTTCTGAAATCGATGCTTTCCTTATTGATTACAAGCAATTACAGCCTCACCAGTTCAATTTTCAGTAATGAGAATATAGAGCAATTAATTTAGGATATTATATGATAAACTTGAGTCGCATTATACGCTTATACAGTATTAAGGATATGACTGTTTACTGAATGTTTACAAGTATCATAGAGCAATTCAAAAAACAAATGTAATGAGGAGAGAATATGGAAAGAAAATGCAAACAAACTTGATCCTCAATAAGAAAACTCTCACTTTGTCGTTGCGAATGAACAATGTAGAGAAAGGTTTAAAGCGTCCTTACAGGATATTGATAATCAAAGAGAATATAATGAAAACCGAGAGCTTTGGATATCTGAGTCCTAATTCTACCTTAGGATAAAATCAAGGTAGCACTTTAACAATGGTGGAGTAGTCGAAATTAAAAAAGGATAAGCAAAGCAAGTCCATACATATTTAATAGCTTTATGTTCCGAACTTAATTTTAAGCTCTATAAAGTGACTTTATTGATCTTTATAATTACAATGTTTTTTTATGGGTAAGCTTGTAAGGAAATATTAAAGGTCTAATCATGTTGAATCGATTAAAGTCGCCATTTATATAACCTATGAAGAGCAAAGTATCTTAGATACTGTCTTGTTTTTCAGTGTTTGTGTTTGGAAGTGTCTGTCACCAAAACATGTGATAACTGATCCCATTAGACTTCACTTTACTCATAGGAAGTTGGTTGACCATAAAAAAGGCTTTTAAATGCCAGTGTTTCAATTACAATGGATTAGCAAGAGTACGTTCGGTAGAGTCTAAGTTAATATAGCCAACTTACTTACCAAATTACATACCCCTGTTACCCATCGTGAAGATGCATAATTCACTCACCAGCATTCTCAAATCCACCTCTGTTATGGACAATCATTTCAAGCACTTTCCAGCTGTTATTCATTCTTTTCATATATGCTTCTATTTCCCGATGTAATGTGTTCTTTGGCCTTCCTCCTCCCCCTTCAGGATTCCAAGTTAGCGCTTACCTCGTGATGCAGTTTAGTGATTTGTGTAATCTATGTCTTATCCACTTCCAAGGTTGTTTCCTAATTTCCTGTTCAGCTCGAATCTCCTCTGTTCTCTTTCATAGTAAGCTGTTGCTGATTATATCCGTTCAACGGACTGTAGTGACTCACATTTATCACGAGAACACGACTGGTTTAATAAAAACAATTATTAGTATAATCATTTGTACCATTGTTTGTTTTAATGTGCTTTTGTTTGACTGTGCTAATGACAGCCATATTGTGCTTCCATTCTTATTCACACACTTCGATTGTAACTTCGCGCGAATTCGGTTACGTTCTGTAACCAAGCTTGTATCCTGGCACGATCTCGGTATCCTTTCGATGCCACGAGATCGCCAGCAAATAAACCTCGACTTGGTCCATTAATTGACTTCTGATATTTGGCTTCTCGGGGATTTTATGGAGTCATTTGGCACGAGCTTCTTGGTAGCGGTGTTCATAGTCAATCTCGACTCGACGCTACTCTACAGGACATTCAGTATCTTGCGTAGACAATTGTTTATAAATACTTGTACGCTAACTAGAAAAAATAATTCAATTCTTTTAAACTCTGCCTTGGGAGTTAGAAGGTCTTCATTTAGAAGGGTTATGACGCTTCATGGTGAAAGCCGAGTTCCTTCGGAAGCCACGATGCCGATGCCTCTTCTAACAACCAGAGAAAAACTTTTCGTAGGTACACGGAACGTCTGAACAATGTGGGAGACCGGAAAGACCAGTCAAATAGCAACGGAAATGATGAGATACAACTTGGCAGTACTGGGAATCAGCGAAACCCATTGGATCCAAACTGGACAACAAAGGCTAGATACGGGAGAGATGCTGCTATACTCCGGTCACGAAGATGAAATTGCTCCACACACTCGGTAAGTTGCTTTATTGCTGTCCAACGCATGAAATGCACTTGCAGAATGAGAATCTCACGGATCCAAAATCATCGAAGCATCATTGAAAACAAAGAAGAAGGGGATCACAATGAATATTATCCAATGTTATGCACCCACCAATGATAGCAACGACGACATTGAGAATCAATTCTATGAGAGGATGCAATCAACAATAGAGAAGTGTCCAAGAAAGAACCTCACCATTCTGATGGGAGATCTAAATGCAAAAGTCGGAACAGACAACACCAGATATGAAGATATCAAGGGACGAAGTAGACTGACTAGGAGAGAGAAACGAAAATGGAGAAACATTTGCAAATCTGTATGCGTTCAACAAATTGGTCATAGGTGGCACAAAATTTCCACACAAACGTATACACAAAGCTACATGGATCTCATCGTACCACACCACAGGGAACCAAATAGATCATATTCACATAAATAAAAAATTCCGAAGGACAATGGGATATGTGATAACCAAGAGAGGAGCTGATATAGCTTCAGATCACCACCTAGTTGTGGCCGATTTGAAACTGAAGCTAAAGAAGAACTGGACAAACAGCACTATGAAGGTTCAATACAGCCTTTCTTCGAGATACTGACAAATTCAACGAATTCAGGAGATCTCTCAACAACAGGTTCCAGGCATTACAGGATCTACTGAAGGAAGAGGAAAGTACTATGGAGGGTAACTGGAAAGGTATGAAAGAAGCATTAACTTCAACGTGTCAGGAGGTGCTGGTCCTCAAGAAGCATAATCGTCATAAGGAATGAATCTCTGTAGAAACACTGGACAAGATCAATGGAAGGAAGAACAAAAAGACAGCAATTAACAACAGCCGAACACGAACAGAGAAAGTCTAAGCACAAGCTGAATACATAGAAGCAAACAAACAAGTGAAGAAAGGCATTAGAGCCGACAAGCAGAAATACATGGAAGAACTAACAACGACCGCGGAAAAAGCTGCTAGAGAAGGAAATATGAAACAGCTTTACGATAAACGAAGAAACTAGCAAGGAAATATAATAAACCAGAGAGATCGGTCAAGGACAAAGAAGGCAGGCCAACCACTGAAATTCAACAACAGAGGAACAAAATTGTAGAGTACTTCGAGGAACTCCTGGATAAGCCGGCTCCGAATATGCTTCACCTTCTATTCAAAAAGATTTGAGAGGAGGAACAAATGTGGATGAACTGGAAAGAAGGACACCTCGTCAAGATTCCAAAGAAAGATCTGAGCAAATGTGAAAACTACAGAGGCATCACACTACTATCAGTACCAGGGAAAGTCTTTAACAGAGTGTTGCTGAACCGGATGAAGGATGCAGTAGATGCCCAACTTAGAGATCAACAGGCTGGATTCCGTATGGGTCGGTCGTGCACAGACCAAATTGCAACACTACGGATCATCAACGAACAATAAGTTGAGTGGAACTCGTCACTATACATCAACTTCATTGATTATGAAAAGGCATTTGACAGTGTGAATAGGAGGACGTTATGGAAACTTTTTCGACACTATGGAGTTCCTGAAAAGATTGTCAACATTATCCGGAACTCATATGACGGACTACAGTGCAAGGTCGTGCATGAAAGACAGCTGACAAATGCATTCCAAGTAAGGATCGGAGTCAGACAAGGCTGTTTGCTCTCCTTCTTCCTCTTTC